AAGGAAAGGAAAGGAAAGGAAAGGAAAGGAAAGGAAAGGAAAGGAAAGGAAAGGAAAACCTTCTTCAGTTCTAACTGAATGGTGGGGAATAGCTTGGGGAAATCTGCTTTTTCAATCAGAATCAAAGAAGCTTCTTGGATGAGGAGCAAAATACCTTCAAGGAAAAATGAAGTCCAGTTGCCTTTTGCAAAAGCGCTTTTGGGACTACCGTGACCTGGACAGTTGTCCCTAAGGTGCTTTTGAGAATCCCCATAGACCACTGCAGCACCTATACACTATTATAATGCATATCATCAGGTAGGGTGGCATTGCCTTTCTTCATGTGGGTTTCTGTCACAGGCCTCACACTCACAGTGCTTTGCACATTCTCATATTCGATTCCCAGGGCAGACATAGCCTTTACAATCAACAGAATGGACTGCAGGGTGTTGCTGTAAACCACCAATTTGTACTCCTCGCATTCCTGATCCGTGTAGCCATGGTTATGGATGATCCTGGAAGGCATCAGAAAGAAGGCAGAATGAGAATAACAGCCAAAAACACAGGTGGAGTCCGAAAGAAATGGAAATTAGCAAGTTTGCAATCCAATCTCAAACGACGAATGCATAATTATTTTTGGAGCAACCTGTTTTTCAAAGCCGTCTAAGATAGCTATGCATAATTATGTGCGCAAGATTAGACAGCATGTTATGATCTTACAAAGCCTAGGATATCTGTTAATCTGTGGTACACTTAGCTATCCTAGAAGAGGTGGTGGAAGTTTATAATAGACTAGCTGGATCCCCGTGCTTTGCTACAAAACTATGTGATCGGGCTTAGTTTTTGGGGAGGAAAATAAAGGGAAAAAATATTCTGCCTCTGCCTACCAGCATCCATTGGTATTCATCTGGCTAGCGTCCTGTCAGTGTGTGAGAGAATTGAGGGCTGTTTGGAAATTAAAACAGTATTTGCTGTGTGAGCAAGAAGGAGACAGCAAGGAGCCTGAGCATGGCTTAAGCCAACTGTTCTGTACTAAAGCTGCTTGGTGCTGCTGTGAAAATAAAACTGGTACTGAAACTCCTCTCCTCAGCTTGTGTTTTGCCTTTGGAAGAGATTTCTTTTCAGGTGGGGAGAGGGAGTAGAACTTCTTAGCATCAGAGCATGTTAATAATAATAATAGCAATAATAATAATAATAGCAATAATAATAGCAATAATAATAGCAATAATAATAATAATAATAATAATAATAATAATAATAATAATAATAATAATAATATAGGAAATACTAACGCTCAGATGGTCATTTAAAAAAATCCTTTCTTAGTGAACCCCTAGAAGCCAAGAGGAACATACGTACCAAATTTCAAGTTCTGGAGATTTTGTGATGATGCATGAGTGGTATTTTGCTTTTATATAGATAGATAAACAGATAACCTGGGATCCGCAAGGTTATAATATGCTGTCTAAACATCTAATCTATGTTTGAGAGATTAAACATAGTTAATTGTACATGCTGAAGATCTTCAGCAGCAGAATTTCACCAACACAAATTGTCTACATACAGATAGAAGACTACACGTAGAGAGAGGGATGTCAAATCCGTGTAGAGACAACATTATATATTTGAAACCAGCGTACCTCATTTTAATATGCCTGTAAACTGTCTTTGAACAGTCATTAAATAAACAGCTACCTGCATATTAGTAGCCACCTCACCTTTCCATAACACTTTTTTTTAGTAATATAAAGAAGGTACAAACTAGGTTAGAAACCTTCATCATGCAACTTGCCCAATTTCTCTTTCTACAGTAAGTACACTACTGCTTCATTTCAGCATGTTTGGTCTAATATGCTATAGGTGGAACCAATACCTAATTGTACTATAAAACTAGTTAGTTTGCTAATTCTATGATATCTATTCTTGAACACCTCCTGTTGGAATTCTTCCTTGGAATGTATTTTTATGCAACTACAATAGCATTCAGCCAGTAGATGGCAGTGTTTACAAGTTTGGATCTATAGTATATACTCTTATGCTCTTCTGTTCTAAATAGAGTTTCCTGTTACAGTTAAACAGTTGAGCAGTAACGTACATGGTGACTGTGCTCTTGGTTTGCTCTGTGGTGTTATATATAAACAGAAATTCTAATACCTCTACACCCTACATCATCAGCAGTTATATACATTTGATAAGGTGCATGGTAGCTCATGTGATTTGGGCACTGGGTTGGAAATTAGCAAGCCTATGTTTGAGACCTGAGTGCTGCCATGGGTGGGGTGAGCTCCCATCCTTCACTCCAGCTCCTATCAGAGGCATTGCAGGAGGCCTCAACTGGCAACCCCCAAGCAATGCAAGTATCACCAGCTAATCCTTTCAACCCAGAGTACTTTTGACACAACTGCAATACAATATGCATCTGATAGTTATCCATCTTATATAAAAAAGTTAGTTTTCAGTTTTAATGCTGGTCACAGATATAATATTGGTTCACAAAGTGATCTAAGTTTTGTTACCATTGCATAATTCTTTCCTTACTCTTACTACAAATCAATATATAGTCATCTTACACCTCAATTTTCTCCTTAATACATATTTACATAGTTTCTTATTCCTTACCTAATTGCCATTCTAATTTCTTTTTATTTTTAAACCATTCATACCAGGCGTCCCAGACCATATAATATATCGAATCTTCCTTATCTTTTAATTTCAACGTTAGCCTGTCCATCTCTATACAGTCTAACATTTTCTTTATAACAACATGGAATAAGAAATTATATATAGAAAGATAATAAGGAAATGTAAAAGATGTCTTGATGTTGATACAATGATGTATAAAGTTTTATTTTATGTTTTTAATCTGTGAAAATCGAATAAAATATTTATTTAAATTTTTTTTTGATAAACCTACTTCATTTGTTTCACAATAGTGCTCTTGCCTGATTCACCAGCTCCTGCAAGAAAGAAAAATAAGTGTCTATATCAGAGGTGGGTATTCAGCAGGTTCTGATCAGTTCTGGAAAACCGGTAGCGGAAATTTTGAGTAGTTTGGAGAACTGGCAAATACCACTTCTGACTGGAGATTTTACAGTATCCTTCCCCTGCCATGCCCACCAAGCCACACCCATGCCCACTAAGCCACACCCATAGAACCAGTAGTAAATTTTTTTGAATCCCACCACTGGTCTATATGACATATGGACACGGACAAAATTGTCTTAAATTGAGCTATATTTTTATTGGCTCAACCAATTTCCTCTTAGCCAGGGTTTCAAAAAGCCACTTCAAACCTTAATTTGCGTTTCTTTCTTCCCTTAAGCATATCTCCAGTCAAAAAAGCCTGCTCTGCTGCTATTAAATATTTATTTATTTGTCTATCCAAACGTCTGCATGTTCTTTAGCATTTGGATTTGCATGTAAGTAATTTGCCCCTAATTTGGGCAAATGGACAACAGGAAAGCATCAATCATATGGAAAGCATCCCTTGATGTTAAAAAAAAAACAACGAACGATCAAGAAAGCATCCATTTCCAATTCGGTGAATATGCAATTTATTATTATTGTTATTATTATTATTGTGCAATGGGTAATTTTACATAGATAGAGTGACAATTTTGTCCACAATCAGCTTTGGCACTTGGGACGTGACAAACACAAAACCTGATTAAGTGCATTTTGGGTGGGGACAGAGCTGATCTTTAGTGATTTTGGATAACAGGGTTTTTATTATAGAGCAGAAAGACCTGCAAAACAAAATCACATACATGCAAAATATATGGAAAGTTAGAGGATTACAGTATAGATGATAGAATAGAACAGAATAACAGAGTTGGAAGCAACCTTGGAAATGCTATAGTTCAATCCCCTATTCAAGCAGGAAACCCTACAGCATTTTAGACAAATAGCTGTCCAATCTTTTCTTGAAAGCCTGCAGTGATGGAGCACCCACAATTTCTGAAGGCCCAGATGTTCCACTGATTAATTTCTCTGACTGTCAGGAAATTTTTCCTTGGCTTTCTCTCCTTGATTATTTCCACCCATTGCTTCTTGTCCTGTCCTCTGGTGCTTTTTGGAAAATAGGTTGACCCAAATGTATCTGGAAAGTGAGGGAACAATTATAGGAAGAGTAATCATTCCAAGTAATAATTCTCAGATCTTTCACTTGATCCTGCTAATGGACCACAAGTTCTCTTGTTCACCTTCCATAAAAATAAATAAAGAAGAATTAAAATCTTACAGGACCAAGATGGATATGTCATACCTATGTTTATGTTCATGCCTATACTTGTTTTCTTGTACATGTTTGACAAACAAATAAAATAAAAACAAAACAAATAAATATTCCTACAAAGAGGCATCTGGATGACTTCAGGTTGGTCATTCTCAACCTATTAACCCTGTCACACTCCATAACAAACCAGCCAAAGAACAATTACTTTGCTCTATTGTACATTGATGGAATTGCTGTTGGAACTGAACAATTTTATTTTATTTTATTTTATTTTATTTATTTATTTATTTATTTATTTATGTCAATTGCTTACAAGATAATAGGTATAAGTAAAAACATAGTTATGAATACATACAAGCAAGCAGATGTTGGTAACCACCCAGAACAAATGCAATCCTGGGAAAAGGAACAGGGGAGGAGATCTAATAGGTTAAATCCATTTGGGAAACCAGACCTTCTAATCTGGCAATCTAGAAACTGCAGATCAAGAAATCTAGAAGATGCAGATCAGGGTGTAACTAAGGCTCAAGGAGTGGGGTGCAGAAAACAACAAAGCTTTTGTCACTATGCTGGCACCACAACAGCTCTGTCCCTTTTGTGTATCTGCTGTGAGGAGGGCACTCCTCACACAGTGAGTGTGCAATGCTTGCGTTTGTCATTTGGACAAAGGTTTCCAATCTCGGTGTCCCTTCTGGAAGAATTTACTCTCTGCAATCCCAAAAGATCAGACTAGATCTAATGTAAGTCACAAGAGAGGATATTTTTGGCTAAATAATTTTTGGAGACCTTTAGCAGCTAAATGCACGGGAATGATCAAACAATCATTTAAAGCAACTGCAAACTTTCCGTCACGGGAACCCTTCGAACAGAAGCTGCGTCTTCGATCTCAGAGCGATTCCACTAAATATCCTCCTTCCAATTCTGTGACTCTTAACTTTGAAATCACAGCTTTAACATACAATCACGTTGTCCCCTGCACTCCTATTTGTCTTTTTACATAACCTGCTGGCATTTTTAGAACATGAAGGGCATTCGGCTGAATCATTCCACTCCTCTCAGGTGACAGAAGGGAAACTATGTCAAATGTTGTCATGCAATTCCATTAGAGGTGACCGGGAGGCACATCTCACGGGCTAAATTCTTTCCAGTACAGTTATATTTTTAACAGGCAAAGGCCCTATTTAACATAAGTTGATTTAATAAGCCGCAAGAGGTCTTGTAAATATTGTAAAAAAAAAAAAGTTAGGAAAGTTCTGATATTTCTACTATTCATCTGAGGATAAATCATTAACAGAATGACAGATTTGGAAAGGGAATGGGACTTTGGAGGTCATCTAGTCCAACCCCTGCTCAAGCAGGAGACCCTACACCATTTCTGATCAATGGCAGCCCAATCTCTTCTTGAAAGCCTCCAGGGATGAAGCTCCCAAAACTTCCGAGGGCAAGCTGTTCCATTAGTTGATTGTTCTCACAGTCCTTATTTCCAGGTTGAATCTCTCCTTGATCAGTTTCTATCCATTACTCCTTGTCTGGTCTTCGGGTGCCTTGGAGAATAGCTTGATCCCCTCCTCTCTGTGGCATCCCCTCAAATATTGGAAGACGGCTATCATGTCTCCCCTGGTCCTTCTCTTCATCAGACTAGCCAGGCCTGGTTCCTGTAACCATTCTTCATATGTTTTAGGTCTTCTAGTCCAATCCCCAAGCAGAAGCCCCTATAACTTTCTGGACAAGTAGATGTCCAGTCTCTTTATAAACTTCCAGTATTGAAGCACCCACAATTTCTGAAAGCAAGCTGTTCCACTGATTCATTACTGTCAAGAAATTTCTCCTTAATTCTAAGTTGCTTCTCTCCTTGATGAGTTTCCATCTACTCCTTCTTGTCCTTCCTTCTGGTGCTTTGGACAATAGGTTGACTCTCTCTTCTTTGTTGCAGGCCCTCAAATATTGGAAGATTGCTATCATATTTCCCCTAGTCCTTTTTTTTTCTCTAGACTGGCCATATTCAATTTCTGCAACTGTTCTTCACCTGGTTTAGTCATAGGTTTGAAAGATATAGAGATGACCCACACAGAAAGATGCAGACTTCATGCATTAACGTAATTCACTATTTATTTGTTTTGTATTTAATTATATCTCCTGACCAAAGGAAATCTTGCTTATCAAATGATGCACACATTAGGCCACAAGGCATGTTGCAAATTGACATCCCCAAACCTGAATTAAAAGTAAAAGAAGCAAAATTAAATCATATAAGCAAATCTCTTAGTTCAATTGCCCTGGTTCTCACACAACTTGTGTAGATTTCTGCTTTGGCAAATGTATACTGAGATTTTAATGTGTAACTCATATCACATATGAAGAACAGTTAGAGGAACTGGGCTTGGCTAGTCTGGTGAAGAGAAGGACCAGGGGAGACATGATAGCGGTCTTCCAATATTTGACAGGCTGCCACAGAGAGGAGGGAGTCAAGCTATTTTCTAAAGCGCCTGTAGGCCAGAGAAGGAATAATGGATGGAAACTGAACAAGGAGAGATTCAACCTGGAAATAAGGAGAAACTTTCTGACAGTGAGAACAATTAACCAATGGAACAAAAGTTGCTCTTGGAAGTTGTGGGAGCTTCATCACTTGAGACCTTCAAGAAGAGATTAGACTGCCATTTGTCAGAAATGGTGTAGAGTCTCCCACTTGGGTGAAGGGTTGGACTAGATGACCTACAAGGTCCCTTCCAACTCTGATTATCTGTTATAACTCAGCCATCAGTATTTGGGGAACTCTCTCCTTGCTCCTTGGGCAAAAAGGGGATGGCAGAGAAGGAGGTGGCTGGATGGAGTCCCTGAAGCAGTCACTGTGACCTTAATTGGACTCCAGGGGATGGTAAAGGAAAGGAAGGCCTGGAGGAACATTGTCCATGGGGTCGCAATGGATTGAACACAAGTTCACAACTAGCAACAACAATTCCTTGTTCAGACTTCCATCTGCGAATTGGATCGCAGCTCTCAGTTTAAAGGCAAAATCACAGTCCGCTGTCTGCTTTTTCCAGAAAGGCTGGATTTGATCTGAGATTTACGATTTGCAACATACCTGCCAATTATTACCTTTTTTTTTAAAAAAAAAATCCTTCTTCAGCCCCGCTAGATTTTAAAATAAGCAGATCAGACAGATCGGCTCTTACAAGCTGTCAGCGAATCAGTTTGAAGATCAAAATGTAAATATCTTTGCTTACCCAGCAGCAGCAACTTGACTGTCCTAGAATCTTTGATTGCATCTTCCTTAAGTCTTTTTTCAAGCTCTCGTGATCGCTTCATCGATTCTTTAGATGCAGAGCTGATTCTGCTCCCCATATTGTGGATTTTTGTGATGCAGACTTATGTGTCCAAGCAATAATTGAAAAAAAAAAGTACAAAAAAATGGAGCAGGTAAATTCCAAGAAAGGTAGGAGAGAACTTCTTTAGCTTGCTTTCGTTGGCTTTGGAGCCACCCCATGTCTAAGAAGGTAGGTTGGATGTCTCATGTCATCTACTCATTATCACATCAGACATGCAAATGTTGTTTTGAACATTTGCCTAAACCTTTGGAACATTTGCCTAAAAGTCAGGCAAAGCAGAAACAAACTCTGGGCATTCCATCAGGGTTTTTTTTTTTTTGTCAACATTTCTCCGGAAGGAAAATATGTTCTGAAACTAAATGAAATACTTCCAATTTCTTCAATGAATGTGGGATGATTTAGTCCAGGTCTGTCCAACTTGCAGCCCTGGATGGCTAGTAATGTGGTTCTACAAGATGGTAAAACTTTTAACATTATTATGTGCATTTATTTATGTGCATTTTAACAAACTGCATCACTGTTTGGTTGGATGGCCAGCAGTGCCTGAGATAGAAAATCCCTACAGAGAGTGGTGAGGACAACAGAGAAGTTTATAGGAAACTCACTTCCGGTTCTTCAGTATACTGCTTATAAGCGCTATGTGCTTAGAGCTCAAAGCATTGTTAGAGACCCCACACACCCACTTCACGGCAGGGCAAGTGGGCATAGCTTGGTGGGTGTGGCAGGGGAAGGTTACTGTAAAATCCCTATTCCCTCCCTATCCCACTAACCTGCTTCCCAGCTCTGTTCTCCTGTGCAGGGCAACAAAAGAAGACCCAGCCAATCAGCTGGGACTCGCGAGGTGGAAAATACATGGGGGTACAGCCAGTCAGAGGTGGGATTTGCCGTTTCTCTGAACTACTCAGAATTTCCGCTACCGGTTCTCCAGAACTGGTCAGAAGACCACCTCTGTTTTGAAGTATTTCTAGCAGGACTACCAGATTCTGTAACAGCTTTGTTCCTTATGCCATCCATCTTGTAAACTCGCAGAATTCTTTTTTCCCCATTCCATTTCATATTTTCTATCCTATCCTATCCTATCCTATCCTATCCTATCCTATCCTATCCTATCCTATCCTATCCTAT